AAGGCATTGTTTGCTGCCAGCACAAGTGCAGAGCTCTGGACAAAAGTTCCTCACCTCCTTTTAGGGTTTACAAGAGCATCTCCTAAGCTGTTCTCTCTTTCTGCAGGTGAGGAGAATGGTTGGGGCTCTGGTTGCAGTTGGCCTGGGGAAGTTAACACCTCATCACATCAAGGAGTTACTGGAGGTAAAAGATGCAATGGCTTTTCCATCCAATGCCATGGCTCCACCCTCTGGGCTCTTCCTGAAATCCGTGGAGTACAAGGAGGCAGGTGGGTGAGTGCAGGGTTTGGTAGGGGCAGAGCTCAGGGAGCAGTGACACTCATGACCTGTTTTCAGCCTGTTCATCATCACCCACACACAGTTGGGGTTGGAAGAACTAGACACAGAGATGTTTACAGCAGTTGATATGGAAAGATTGTGTCTTTTTCTCCTGTAGGTTTCCCCCTCTTACTTTCAGGTTAGTGAGAGAGTTGTTCTGTTGAATTGGAACGATGCTTTAAATTCTCATCAGTCCTTGTTTTGTCCCAGCCCATGTGTAAAGACCAAATCTGTGCTGTTTACAGAGCCAGTTCTGCTCACTGGCTTCTCCCTTGGTGTTTCTGAGAGGATTGTACAGACTGGAGGACAGAGCAGATCAGTCTGTGCTTCTGTGCTGACTCTTAATTTAACAGCAGCTGATTTGGAAGTGCTCCAGGCCAGGTTGGATGGGGCTTGGAGCAACCTGGGCCAGTGGAAGGTGTCCCATGCCCGTGGCAGAGGGTGGGACTGGCTGAGCTTTGAGGTCCTTCCAACCCAAACCATTCTGGATCCATTTGAACTAGCAAATAGATGTAATGGAAGTTGGACATCCCTTCTAGGGAGAGTAGATATTTAAGCTTTGAGGGTTGAGCTGTGGTGAATCCAGTGCCCATGAAATGTGGATACAAAGGACTTCCACCACCCTCAGACCTTCTCCAGGCTGCCTTGGCTCAGCAAACCTCATCCAGGTGGGCTTGGAGTGTGCTCTGTCCTGCAGCACTGAGGGACTCAGGGGAGCCTAAGGAAGATGGAGGGAAAGAAAGACAAGGAGCTGGAACATAGCTCTGAGATTTGCCCACAGATTTGAAGTGCTTTCAGGTGGTTCAGTGCAATCTTTTCCCCTAAATCAAGGTTTTCTTGTTTGTTTTTTTTCCCCCTCTCAGATTTGAACCCTCCAGTTGCCCCAGGAGAATAGGAGCTGTGTGGGATGAGCAGTGCCTGAAAGGACTGTTGTGGTGGCTGTGGGATGGAGGTTGGCCAAGTGCTCTTTGCACAATGCACAGCCTTGTCTCAATAAAAATCATTGACTGGAGGCATCTTCCTATCATTTGTTCCTGCCCTGAGACCGCCAAGGGGGAAGGAAGAACAACTTTCTCAGTAACTGCTTCTTTTTGGCTTTTCTCTGAAATTCTCATGCCTGTCTGGGGAGGAGGGAGGAGTGGAGCTTGTTTTGTGTTCGTGGGGTTGTTTTTGTCCCCTCTGTGGTGTGTGTGGCTGAGAGTGGAGGAGAATGTACCATTTCCTCTCCGACTCCTGTCCTCCAGCTCTGCCTTAGCACAGCACAGGGCAAGGCACAACTGCTGCTGCTTCAGGGGTGACTGACACCCTTTGAGTCCTCTCCTCACCAGCACTCACTCCTCTGCTGCACTGCTTTTCCTCACCCCCTTTTTTGGTCCAAAGCCATCTCTGTTGGTTGCACTTAGGATGTGGCATGGGCAAAGTTCCTCTGAGGTGCCTTCGAAGGGTTCTCATGGCCCCAGCGTGGGCTGGTGGCACAGGAGCAGCACAGGAGTGAGTCAGGGTAACCCTTTGGGCCCCTTGTCACCTCCTTTTTTGCTGTTTTTCTATGGTGCAGCAGTGCTGGGATCTGTCAGGGATCTGAGGGCATGTGGCTCAGTGCAGAGAAGGGAGCAAAGAGCTCATATTCTTCTTTTCTTTACCTTTTTTTTACCACTCTGCCCTCAGGTTCTGCTTACCCAGGCAATAAAACACACATGGGGTAACCTGTGGGGCTTTCCCTCCTGAATGACACCAGAATCTCTGTCTGGTTTGGTTAGAAAATGACTGTGAGAAGGGCAAGTTACAGGGAAGATGAAAATACTGACTTCTGGAGTTTCCAGAAGAAACAATCCCAGAGTTAACACTCCTGCAGTGGGAGCAACATGAGGCTGAGCTGCCTGGAGTAACCATGATCACCTCCCTGAGAGAAGAACTGCAGAGAGACAGAGTTTGGCAGAGCAGAGAGACATGTTTGGCCTCCATCTCCCTTCCCGTGTAGCTCTTTATTCCCTCAGGGACTCATTCCCAAAGAAGAACACACCAGCTGGGAGGAGTCCTGGGTCTCCACCATGGAAGAGGAGAGGTTGAAGCAGTTGTGATGCTCTTCTGGTACCTGTTGGTGCTTTCCTGCTGGAGGAGGAGCTGGAGGTAAGGATGCTGAGCAGGTTGCAGGGATTGTTCAGCACAAGCATTTGGGGCTTGTCCAGCTGTGCCAAACCTCAGTGTGCTCCTGTGTTTTCAGTCCAAGGTTTGCCCAAAAGGCAGTGGCAACATTCCCTTGTGCTTCCTCTCCTTGAGGGAAGTGAGAGTGGAGCTCAAGGCCCATTTGGGTGTCTCAGACTGGTACCTGGTGCCAGAGGGGCAGGTCTTGGCTGCTGGGTGGGAGGGGAAGAGGGACAGGAGGTGATCAGTGGTGGCTTTGGGTGGGAGTTTTGTGTCTCCCTCGTGCAGTTGGTTCATGGAGAGAACTAACACACTGGTGCTCTGTCCCCAGTTTGGGGGAGACACTCTAGCACGACAAGTGGTGTCTTGGATCTGAGTGACATCTCATCATCATGAGCTTCCTGTGGTTTCTCTCTGCAGAGCAACGTGGCAGAGCTCAGCACTTTGGTGTTCAACTCTCCCCAGAAGAGCTGAGCAGTGTCCTCAGAGCTGTGAGGGCTGTGGTGGACTCACCTGCAGCTTCAGCACGAGATCTCAGCTCTGGTAAGTTCACTTTCTAACTGCATTTATTGTAAGTCTTCACAGGGCAGAAAAATACTCAGTACTTAGAGTGTTTGGGGGTTTATCAAGCCCAATGTGGCTGCAGGCTCAGGTATCAGCACTTCTCACCAGCCACAGTCCCCAAATTCCTGTTACTGAGGTCTCTGCATGTTTCCCAACTTGTGGTCTCAATAAAGACCTTATCAAATGCAGGAACTGAGCAGCAGGTTCAGCTCTCCAGGCAGGAGTTGAGGAATAAATTAAGTGGCAAACTGCAGTGAGCACAAAGTGCTGTTGAGGGTTTTGCTTTGCTCTTTTAAATGCCAGAGCAGCTGCTAAAAAAATCAATCTGAAGACACTGAATTCAAGATGCTCTTTTTAGCATCACAAAATGCAGCATCAGAGAAGTTCTGCACAAACTTCCTGTCTGAAGAACTTTTTGGAATGTCCAGCATTAAATATGCTTATTACCAAGAGGTATTTACCATTTTATGCTGGTGCATTACTAGTTCTTTTCAGCTGATTCAATCTGGGCATCCCATCCATGGGGAGATCTGATTGTTTGACAGTGATGCTTTAAAACCAGAAAAAACTCCTATTTGACCAAAGTTTAAAGCCTCAACCTTAGGTTTATATGAAAACATTTCTAATAATGAACCCCAAATCCAAGAGAAACGCTGATAGATCTTTTTTCTGTGTGTCTGTAAATCAAATCACTGCACAAGAAACAGGTTCTGTGGTGCTTTTTTTGTCTGGCTGGAAGAAACAAGAACCTTCCCCAAAACCTACCCAAACACAAACCCAACCCAACAGCTCTGGGGAAGCAAAAGTGAATCTGGAGTTTGACCAGACTCCATACTTTTCTGTGGTAGATGAGTCAATCTGGTCACTGCCACTCTGGGAATGTCATGTGGGGTCTGGGGCAGGTGGGGAAGGACTGGGGGGATTTGGCTGGAGAGAAGCAGCAGCTCCTTGGCCTCTCCCTTAGGCCTTTGCCTTGCCCTTCCCCAGCTGCACTGTGGACCCACAGAAGCTGCTGTTCAGTGGCTCTTACTCTGCCAAACACCAAGATAAATGTTGTTTCAGGTCCTAAATTTGTGGCTCAGCCATGCCTGGTTTGGGGTTAATGTTCCTGTGTTTACAACCCCTTTACTCTTAGGTGCAAGACCTGTAGGCAGATCCTTCTCTGCTTGAAGTGAAACCACCTTTTTTTTTTTTTCCCTTCTCATGTTCCACTTATCTCCTTTTGATGGCTTTGCCTTTATTAGACAAACAACTGTGGGGAGGAAGTGTGAATTCAGTTTCCTTTGGAAAGTACCCAACTCTTTGTAGTTTTGTGCTTTGGGGGCCTCAACTTTGGGAACATTGAGCACTTCGGGGCTGAGTTCATCTGCTCAGGTGTCTGTGTGTGGTTCATTTAGATTTTTATTTTTTTTTCCATGAGATGGAAGTTGCAGTGTTGGAGTGCAGTTTATTGCTTGTGTGACGTGGGTGAGCTGGATGAGGTGTCCTGCTGGTGCAGTGCTTCTTTCCCCTGTTTCAGACACACAAAGCAGTGCTTTAGGCTCTCTTTGTAACATATGAGTGGTGTTGTCCCTCTGCCATGTACCTGCAGAGGTTTAGGAGACTCTGAATTCCTCCAAGAGCTTAGAGCATTCCCTGTTGTGTGTGAGCATCAGGTCCCTCTGTTGCTGCAGTGTTGTCTCCTTGGGATGGTAACTACTCTGTTCACTGTGTAAACTCAAGTGGTTGTGTTTTAAATGGTTGATTTTTATTTTTTGTCCCCTTATAGAACAATAAAGGTTGGAAGAGACCTTTAAGATCACTCTGAACACTCCAAGCCTCTGAACCACAGAGCTCACTGGGCTGGACATTGCTCCATTGTGCAGCTTTAACCCTCACCCAGTGGAGCTGACCCAACTCTCCAGAACCCCCTGAGGTAAGGGATGACTTCAAGACTTTCACCCCACACTGGATACACCTCCACTCCAGCACAAGCCATGGCAGGTGTTTCCTGGACTGAAGGAGGAGTCTCCAGTGAGACAGCTGGCAGTGGCAGTGCAGAGTTTGGGTTGGAAGCACATTTCCAGTATTCCATGTTTACTGTCACCTACAGCATTGTCTTTGTGCTGGGCCTGGTGGGCAATGCCCTGGCTCTGTACCTGCTGTCCTGCAGGGTGAGGCACACATCCCATTCCTCCATTTACATGCTCAATCTTGCCCTGGTGGACACTCTGTTTGTTTGTGTGTTGCCTTTTAAAATCCATTACCACCTGAACCAGAACAACTGGATCTTTGGGGACATAGCCTGTAGGATCACTGGGACTCTGTTCTACATCAACATCTACCTCAGCATTGCCTTTTTCACCTGCATCTGTGTGGATCGTTACGTGGGAGTGCTGCACCCCCTCAGCTACATCCAGATCAGAGCCACCCACTGCCTGGGGGTGGTCACAGCCCTCTGGGTGGTGGCTCTGAGTGTCACAGTGCCTCTCATCCTGGGGGGGCCTCTGCACAACGAGGGGCTGAGGAACACCACAGCCTGTTTTGAGAACTTCACCACGAGCAGCTGGACCCAGCGCATGGCGCCCTACAACATCCTGGCCTTGGTCTTTGGGTTTGTGATCCCCTTCTCCATCATCCTGGTGGGATACCCTCTCATTGCCAGGAGGATCTCCAGGATCAAGAGGAGTGTTTACAAGAGGAAGGCACTGAGAACTGTCTACATTGTCCTGAGCATCTGTGTCCTGTGTTTTCTCCCCTATCACCTCACTCACTTGCTGCACTTCCTGATGAGGAGCCAAGTCATCCAGGATGAGGCTTCCACCAAACTCATCTACAAGATGAGGAGAGTCACCTTAGCCCTTGTGAGCTTCAACTGCTGCCTCAACCCACTCTTGTACTACTTCACCTCTTCCAGCAAGAAGTGGCACTGCAACTTCAGGCTCAGATTCAGGTCTAAAATGGTGTTCACCATCTGTGACCAGAACTTTGAGAAGTCGTCCTCCTGTACTTATAAACTACAGCAGAGAGATGGAAATCAAACCCCCAGAGAGGAAATCAACTGAGCTCCTTCAGGTAAGTACAGTGCTGATCTTTCCAACTCATTCTTTAAAAACAAACCTACTATTTTTCCATGTGGTAGTTGTTAAATGGAGACAGCAGTGGAGGGAAGTGCTAACCAGTTGTGTGTTTTGATCAGCCAACTGGGACAGTCCTGGGGGAGCTGAATCCAGTGCTGAAACCTGCTCTGGTCATGGGCACTGATGTTTTGGGCTCATTCTGTTTCACTCTGGGGTGGGTAGAACACAGAGCTCTTTGCTGGGAAGCAGCACAGCCCAGGAAAGAGGCACTGGAGGGAAATCAGAGTCTCCTGATTGACACTGGTGGATCTGCTCAGCTCTGCTTGGCTTTTCCCTGCTCCTCCCTGGGGCACACAGTGTCCTGTTGGGGTCACAGGCTGCTGCCCACATTCCACAGCCAGACAGAAGTTTCTCAGCCCTCCCTGGGATCAATTGGCTTCCTGACAAGAGTTCCAGTGCAGAGTTTCCAGCACGGAGTGCCTGTGGATTCAAGCTGGACGTGGATTAATGCAAGTTGAGAGGGAACAGAGCCCAGGATGGATCAGTCAGTGGTCACCAAGCTCCTCCACACACTCACTGAGGGAAGCTCCTGCAGCAGCTGGCACAGCTCCTTGCACTGTGTGGGTCTCTCTGAACGTCAGAGCTCTCATTTTCAGTCAGTCTGTGATATAAACACAACATCTGACCCTTTTCAACCCTTTTCTTGTATTAACAGACCCATGTGTGGCTTCTGAGAAGTGCTGAGTTTTCCACCCTGTGAAATGTGACACTGGAGAGAATTTCTCATGTGTGGCTTATCAGAGACACCAGAAAACCTCAGGCCTGGCTGAGAAATCTGCTTAAACCAACAGTTTCCTTCAGAGGATGTGAGGGTTTGGTAACAGATGCAGACTCACTGTGCTGCTCCTTCCCACAGCACCCTCAGAACTGGCTGTGGGCACCAGGACTGTGAGAGCTGAGGACAGAGAGACACTGCCATGGGGTTTACTTGCCAAAAAGTCACTGCTTCCAGTTCCAAATGCACCAAACTCAGCCTAAAGGTCACACTGTGACCTGATGGGTTCCCAGACTGTGCTGGGATTGGCCCTGGAACCAGAACTGCCATGGAGCTGTGGTAAGGTGGACTGACCTGTGTTTGTTCATGCAGACACCTCTTCCCACCACCAGTTTGGCCTCTGGTCTCTCCCTGCCTGGATTTTTGCTTTGATTTTAGAGGAGTTTTCATCTATTGGTGAGAAAATTTGCTCCAATTTATCTAAACTATGGCAAATGATGACTCCTGTGTGGGTTTGGTAAGCCAAGTGCAAATCCTGGCACTGTACAAGGAGACAAGGAGAAGCTCAGAGGGAGCATTAGCACTAATTAACCTTGTGCCTTTCATCAGAGATTGCTATTTTTAGCCCTTTATAGAGTGTGGAAAAGCCTCTCAGCACTGCAGGGACTGTGCTCCTCAGCTAAGCACAGGCTTTATGATCTGGACAAAGGAAGAGCAATTTTTATTAGAGACTCCTTGCAGCTTTCCTGGAGGTTTTTTTTAGCTGTCCCTGAGGGGAGGATGCAGAATTGAGTTTTGCTGTTAAATAATCAGTACATTTAGGGCTTCATATTTTTGCCTCTTTTATACTTTGCATTGTGTTTCACTCAGCACTGCTGAGGGTTGAAGGGAAATGAGCTGTGGGGAGAACTTCTGCTTCACTGTGGAAAAACGACTCAAACTTATTCCTTAGGACTTAAAAAACAGGTTGGACCAACTCCTTGGATGTGTTTCCAAGGGGGGAAAAATCACAGGGACAGATTGGCAGTGTCACTGCAGTAATTGGACAAACACTGTAATTCCTTTATTAAAACAAAAGCAGGAGAAAACATTGACAACGTAAACAAAATAAACTCTTAAGTCTCTAACCTCCTGTGCTCTGCTCTCAGGTTGTGCTCTGGGGAAGGCCTTTCTTCAGCAGAGAGGTGAGATAGCTGCCCAGCTCCTCATCCTGGAGAGCAGAAAGAGAAATGGGATGAAAGGAAAATCTCCTACTTGCCTGTCCCACTTGAGGCAGTGAATTTAGCTCTGATACCTCAAAATAGGCTGAAATCAGCTGTGTTCAAATATGGAGACTTAGCCACAAACGCATTTCTAGGTGTTCCTTGAAAATATGGGTGCAAACCTGTCCTTTCTCAAAGGAACCTCATCCTGGAGAGCAGAAAGAGAAATGGGATGAAAGGAAAATCTCCTACTTGCCTGTCCCACTTGAGGCAGTGAATTTAGCTCTGATACCTCAAAATAGGCTGAAATCAGCTGTGTTCAAATATGGAGACTTAGCCACAAACGCATTTCTAGGTGTTCCTTGAAAATATGGGTGCAAACCTGTCCTTTCTCAAAGGAACTGGCTGCACTTCTAGGTGTTCCTTGAAAATATGGGTGTAAACCTGCCCTTTCTCAAAGGAACTGGTGGCTGCACCTGAGGGATGGAAATTTTCTGAGGAAAATCATCACTCCTGAAAGCAAGGAGCAAAGGACCATTGATTGTGTTGCTTTGCCTTCAAAAGGTGTTTCCTTGCTGGAAAGAGAATTGAATCTTATAGCCATAGAGACTCCTTTGAATGTAATGACTGTCTGATAAAATAGTGCTAAGATTAGACACAGTTTTCTACTAGTTTCAGAGTTTTACCTCTAAGAAATACAATGTAAAACACCTCCACACTCTCCACAGCAGCAGAGATACAGCTCAGTGGCCTCGAAACACAGATTTGTAATTAACTAAGTGTAATTACTCCAGAAGTTGCCTGGAGTTCAATGGTCCCAAGTGAGCACCGAATTCAGCTTGTACTGGTCAAGAAAACACCAGTGACTCACCTGATCTTCTTCAAAACCAGAGTGAGGAAGGCTCAACCCTCACAGCCACCCCCAGGGCAGGTTTGGACTGTAAGGAATTAAGGCCCAGAAAAATGTGTTCAGGTGTTCCTACCTGGTATGTCCAGGACACGAGCAGGACTTTGGTTCCCTGATCCTCTGAGTGTGCTGTGGCCTGGATAAGAATGGACTCCACAGTTATAGAGCCATCAGGGAGATGCTGCACTGAGTAATCCTTCAGGACCCTGGTAAGAGAGAAAACAGGATGGATTTGGGATGGACATGCACACAGCTCACCCCTGGGGCTCCATCCCAGCCCCCAACCTGCTGTTCCTCCTTCTGGCTGTGTGTGAGCCCAGGGAAGGGAGAATGAGGCTGAGCCTCAGCTTGCTTAGCTTGGGGCTTGTATTAATCATGGAGGATTTCCTACAGAATTTATTGCTGGATTTCCTGATAGATCTAACTCCAATCTGAGCCCTGTTCCTCTGGGCAAGGCACTCCAGACCCACCTGGTGGGACAAACAGCCTTTAAGGCACCTGTGGGACATGTGCTGGGGAAGCTGAAGGGACCCACAAGGATCATCAGTCCAACTCCTGTCCCTGCACGGACACCCCAACAATGCACCCTGTGCCTGGGAGTGTTGGCCAAACACTCCATGAGCTCTGTCAGGTTTGGGGCTGTGACCAGCCCTGGGGAGCTGTTCAGTGCCCAAACACCTCTGAGGAGTGATAAGCTCAACTCCCTCCCCAGGAAACATCCCAGCCCTGGGCTCAATCCCCCAGGCAGGCAGGGCCTCACCCCTTGAGGTGGTTGTAGACCCTGAGCACTGTCTCGTGCTCCTTGCGCGGGTCCTGGATGTGCACGCGGCAGGTGAAGCGCAGCTGGTGCTCGGCCAGGCCCAGCTCCTTCAGGGCCTGCTCAGAGGAAACCAGGCGGAAGCTCTGCAGGGAAAAAAGGACAAATCCATGCTCTGGATCCATTCCTGGGGCTGCATTCCTCCCCTCTGCTCACTGAGGCAGGGAAGAGTATTCCTCTTGCACCTCGGAGCTGTCTCGGTAACAGCAGCAAAAGGACAAGGTCAGACTGGCAAAATGTCCTGTTCAATAACATCCCTGTCCTTTCTTTACCATAACTAAAGTTCTCTCTGGCAGCTCATTAAACCTGTCTCAGGGGAATGATGTATGAACATAAACATGAGGTTACAGAGTCAAAACTCCCCCCGTGGCACCTTCTTGTCTAGAAACAAGAAGTGCTTCCCTGGATTTTGGTGCCTGGTGCAACCAGAACTCATGGGAATGACAACACACTCGTACAGAGGACACAAGACAAGGGGAAGAAATCTCTTACTTACGTTATCCTTCATGAGTAAGGTGCCATGCATGAGCTTTGGCTTCTTGGCATCTGGTAAGGGACCTGAACCAAGGCCAGTGGAGGAAAAACAACATGGTTATCCACGAGGGACTGACTTTTCCCACAAAACAGATTGGATCTGAGGCCCTGCTGAGGTTCAGACACTAAAACCCTACACCTTTCTCCTCTGCTAAAGTGCACTAATGGTGCTGCACCAATATCAGAGCTACTGGCACTAAGAACCCGTGTCTGGTCTCTAAGACAGCACAGCTGCCTCTTCCTCAGCTCAGAGGGTTTAGGTTATTGTTCTACACTGGGTTTCTAAAAGTGATCCCAGTTACCAGCCCCAGCTCCTAAAAGCTCACATGGTTTTGGTTTCCTAGCAGCAAACAAGGCAGTGTGTGTGCAGCTGGTTTTGAACATCACTCACTGTACATCTCACAGAATAATTCAGGTTGGAAAAGACCTCCAAGATCATCAAATCCAACCTTTGATCACCACCCTGTCCACTAGACCAGAGCAAAACTGCCACGTGCAGTGGTTAATCTGCTCCCAGCACTATGGAGCAGCAGGGCCTGAGGGAGGGAATTGGGGGTGAAGTGTCACCTATGGCTGTTTCTCTCTTGAGGAGCCCCAGGGAGATGTCCACAGGGATGCTGGGGTTGGTGAAGATGGTGGTGGTCTCCCCATTGGCAGGCATGAAGCAGCTGACATCTGCAACGGGAACAAACTGTCAGGGCTGAGGCAGCAGGAAGAGCTCAACCAGGACAGAACAAATCCAAAGGGTCGTTACAATTAACTAGGCTTAATGAACATGTTCATTAAGGGGTCACAGACAGCAGTTTCTTGAGGGTGACAGTCCATGCCATGACACCTGACTCTGCTGAGGGATAGGGGATCCACAGCCCCAACACACATGGATACCTACGGAATTCCTGCTCTATTTTCTGCTTCAGGAACTCCATTTTCTTGGCTTCCCCATGGACCAGGAGCACATTCCTTGGCTCAGCCTGGCGGATCAGCTGCATTATCCCCTTGGCATCTGCGTGGGCACTGAAGGACATGTACTCCACCTGCATCTTCACTTCCAGCTGGGGAGGAGCAGAGCACAGGATTTGGGAACTGGGAATTGCTTTGGCTCACTACACACAGACACACACTCCTCTCAGTTTAAAGGAGGAAGGAGAACACCTAAATTGCCTTAAAGAAAACCTTCCAATGACTTAAAGCACCCAATTCCCAATTTTTGAGCACAATACTTGTCACACGCCACAAAACAAATCAATACTTAAGGACAGGATCAGTTTAATATCCCTATTTTCCTTTAAATAGTATCATTTGAATCTATTTGACTAATTAGGCCTCAGGATTAAACATCACAAATTTGTCCTTAAGACTTTCATGGCAGAAAACAACACAAAGGGGAAAAAAAAATTTAAAAATGAGTCCAACTCTAAAGAAAATGTTAATCTGAAGTGTTTCCAAGTGTTGGATGCAGCACATTCCCATTGCCAGGACATGGTGGCTAACTCAGCACCTGAAATGCTGCAGAGCTTGAAAAGAAAACTTACAATTTGTCTCCCTTCCATCTCCAGCTTGCGTTGCCCACTCAGGATCTTGTGGCCCACAGTTCCCTGCACACAGTAGCCAGGCATGATCACCTGTGGGGAGACCAGAAAGTCAAACTCTGCCCTTGGACTGGGCCTGGCACAGCTGGTAACCAAAAATAGCCATAAATGCATAATCCAGAGCTTGGAAAAGCTCAATTCAGAGCCTGGAAGAGCTTTGCCCTGGGCTGGGTCAGGAGAGACCTCAGCATTTCATCCCAGAGGCTCAGGAAAAGCTTTTCTGCACCCTCTGTGCCAGTGCCACTGTCACATCAACATGAAGTATCACTCAAGCAGCTAAAGTCTTACCATATTCTTTTCATTCCCTGCCCATTTCCTGAAGATCTGGAGGGACTGTCCTGCATGCAGCATTCCAGGGGTTGCAAACACCACCTGCAATTCAAACACAGGCCATAAATCACCAAGGAAATCAGGTTTTTTTCTCCATGATAATATAAAACCATCCTAAATCTGTGCAGAATATTTATTACTAACACACATCACAGACACTTCCTACACCAAATAGGGATTTTTTGTCCTCACTTTGTCTCATTTTCACATGAGCTGAACTGTTTTGGGACCTATTTATGAGCATCCATAGTGTGTAATGAAAACTCTGAATGGTTTGATGATGGTACCTAATAAACCAGGCAGAAATAAACCCACTTTGGTATCTGCCTCTCCCTCCCAACCACCTACCATAGGCCCTGGGTTGTCTGCAAAGGCTCTGTCGAAGGCTTTGATGTGTTTGAACTCAAACATGTTCCTCTGCACAAACGTTTTCCGGATTTTCTGGTTAGTCCAAGTGATGAAGAGTTTGTAGTAATGATTTGCCTTCTCTGTCAGCCCCGTGGAGAAGTAAATTGGAGCCTTCAGGTTCATTCTTTCCCTGGAGAAAGAAGTGTCAGAGAGACCTGTGAGGGTCAAAGTGGGATCCTGCTTATCCCTGCTGGAAATGCACAAACCTGGGTAGTGTCCCAGAGGTTTTTGTGTGCATTCCCTACTCTCATGAGCTCTAAATCAATCTATGGCAATGCCACATCCCTCTATAATAACCTACTACCAAGTAGGCTCCAGTTCTTCTAGTCCAATTCCCCTCCTCACCCACTACAGACAACTTCCAGCCAGTACAAATACTCATCAGACAGGGAAGAAGCACAGGAACCTGCCAGGAGTACAAAGAAGGGCACAAAGGAGGTGGGAAAGGCACAGACACTGCACTCACCAGAAAGTTTCCAATAAAATGCAAAGTTCCTGGGCACGTCCAAGGGCAAAAACTGGGATAAGAACCTGCAATTGAGGTGGGATTTAGTGTGTGAAAGCCAAACAGTATTATCATTGGATCAGAGGATGTTCAGGGGTTGGAATGGAGCTTAGAGATAATCCAGTCCTAGGCAGAGACACCTCCCACCAGAGCAGGTTGCTCAAGGCTTGATCCAGCCTGGAATAAACACTGCCAGGGTTGGGGCAGCCACAATTAAATGGCAACGGAGTGGTGTTGTCTCTGAACTGTCCCTCAGTTCCCTCTCACTTTCTGCTACCCTTTTCCTGACCTCTCTCTTCCCAGGAATGTTCTGCACTTTGGACTGAAAGGCACTCACACCCCAATGTGCACAGACTGAGGGGAGTTTGCTGTTCCCTCCTGGATAATCTGAGACCAATGAACTGAGAGGAACAATTCTGGCATTATGGATGGATATGGACACTGTACCTTCCCTCCTCTTTCCACAGTCTCGTGAACCTTCTTCCGAAAGTCTCTTTTCCTGCAGCGCCCTGCAGCGTTTGGAGTCTCTGATGGTTGTGGCATAGGTGGATTCACTGATCAGCAGGTCTGGGCGACACTTGTCAATCCAGGCAGCTCTGAGCAGGAGAGATTTTAAAAAAAGAACAAGTTAGGAGATGCCATTTCTCATCTGCAGGTCCCAAAGATGGTGAGGAATGTCTGTGTGTCCATTTGCAGATGGCAAACAGGTACACAGTGTCCCTTGGCTTGTCCAAAGCTACCTGAGGCTGCTGGGGAAAAATGTAAAGGAAAAGTAAAATGAAAAGAGAAAGGAAAAATGAAAAGAGAAAGGCAAAATGTAAAGGAAAAATAGGAAGGAAGGGGAAGGGGAAGACAGAAAGACAAAGGAGAAAGGAAAAGGAGAAAGGAAAAGGAAAAAGAAAAGGAAAAAGGAAAGGAAAATGTAAAGGAAAAATAGGAAGGAAGGGGAAGGGGAAGACAGAAAGACAAAGGAGAAAGGAAAAAGAAAAGGAAAAAGAAAAGGAAAAAG